TGGATTGAACTCAGGCCCTTGCGCTTGCCAGGGAAGCGCTTATTCCACTGAGCCATCTCCCCAGCCCCTGCTTGGTGTTCTTGAGTACTATAGTTTTATTTGGTTAAAAAAAATTCAACTTAGTGCTTCCCTATCTTTTATGAAAAATGATGGCTGTAACTTTAAAAATTGTAATCCTTTCCTTATGCATATGCTGTTATTTTTACTATTACTGTTGTTCCTGCTGTAGTAGACTTGTAGGCTACATTTCAATCTTCCATGTTCCTGAATCATCTTAGCCTTTTATCAACACGATACAGCCTACTTTTGAGAGGTGGGAGAGGGTATTTGAGAATTATACTCAGGGAATGCATGCTACTTTTCTGGCCCTTTTTATTAATTGTTTTAAACGTATTTGGTTGCTTCAGGGTCTCACTGCGCAGCTCAAACTGCGCAGTGAGCCTCCTGGTTTTCAGCCTCCCAGGCTCTGGGATTGCAGGCATACTCCCAGATTCTGGCTGGCTCAGACCACCCTGGGGACGCGGCTGTTGCGGGAACTGCAGTCCCTCGACTTACCTAAGCAGGCGCTTTAGTCCACTAAACTAACTTTTTTTTTTTTTTTTTAATGGTACTGGGGATTGAACTCAGAGCCTTGTGCTTGCCAGGCAGGCACTTATTCCACTGAGCTATGTCCCTGGCCCTCACTGAGCTATCTCACAGACTCTTACTTTTATTTTTTTTATTTGGAGACAGGATCTTGCAAAGTTGCCCAGACTATCGTGGAATTTGCCATTTGCCTTGCATTTGGGTTGGGATTATAGAGATGCACCACCATGTCCATGTCCTTTCCAGTTGTGTGTTTTTTTTTGGGGGGGGGGAGGGTTTTTTTTTTGTTTTGTTTTGTTTTGGTTTTTTTTTTGGTTATTCTGTTGGCAGTGCTGGGAATTGAAGCCAAGGCCTTGGAACTCCGCTGCACTCCCTCCTAGCTATCTAGCTATCTTACCTAGAGACAGGGTCTAGCCAGTTTTCTCAGGCTGGGCTTGAACTTGTCCTGCCTGACATTTCTAGAGAACTGGCATTTACAGGCTTACACCATTACTCTAGCCAGGCCTTTACATTTTTGTACGTTAAAGTTGGCTCTTAATGTTGAGGTTCTAAAGGCTCGTCTGTTTCAGGTTAGCCAGGGCAGGGATATAGTTGAGGCCTACAGGTACACTGTTAGTGAATCCTTCTATAGGCATGAACATAAAAATTTGAGTTCCTTTTATGATGTTCTAGGTCTGAAGATTTACGGCGTGAATTTGGCCGCTATGGTCCAATAGTTGATGTCTATGTTCCACTTGATTTCTACACGCGACGTCCAAGAGGATTTGCTTATGTTCAATATCCTTTCTTCAGATGACTGATTAGTGAGGGGTGAAGTTTCAAATTCAAGTTTATGTAAGTGGTAACATCTAAAAAGTAGTATTTTCGTCCTCTAATAAATGTCTGTGTCTTCAGATTTTTGAAAATTCTGACTCACATTGTTCTTACTATTCCATTAATCCAAAAATAGTTAAATATTTGAATTCCCGTTCATGTTGCTGAAATGCTGAAACGCAAATCAGTGATTATAATTGATTTAAATTCGAATTCATTTTGGTTGCTACCACCTTTACTGTAAGTCAAATTAAAAATTAGTATGTTCTTGTGCTTAGCAATTAAAATTTAGTATTCTTGTTTGTTAATTTGAATCACTTGATCAAAAACAATTGTATAACAATGAGGTAAACTTCTTTAATATTGTCCCCTAATTTGCTGTCCTCTGTTGTTACCTCAGAATGTAAAGCTGTACAGTTATGGCGACCCCAGAGAGAAAGCATGAAAGAACCTTTAGAGTAGAGTTCAACACTTAAGGCAAGTAGACAAGCCAAAGACCTCTTAAGGATCTTAAGGATCAGGCTTGAAGAGAAGGGAGAGTTTGGGAAAAGAAAAAATAAAGAAAAGCTGGAAGAAGGACAAGCCTAATGGGAGACAAAGCCTCGCTTTATCTACAGAGGGGGAAAAGGTTGTTTTTCAAAGTTAAAGATAAAGCCATCTGTCATATTTGGCCAAGCATCTCATGACAAGTCCTTCTGACAAGCACTTAAAGAGTTAAAGGTCAAGATGAAGTTGAATGATGGCCAAGATTAAAGGAGTCATACCTGATGTATCCTACAGAATAACTATTTTCTTCTTCCTTTTTTTTTTTTTTTTTTTTTTTTTTTTTAATGTTTTGTAAGCAGTTAATTTTCAAAATTATTCTGGTTTGGTCTAGTGACAACCTGTGACTTGATTTATGTGGGCTTTGCTGTTGTGATTGTGGTCTTGTGTAAATGCACTTTTTCTTAGCCTATCAAGTTAAATTATAGTAGGATATAACATTGTTACGCTTAAATTCAGCATATTTTGGTTTGGTGCAGGTGGTCAGAGACGCTTGAAGTAGAATGAGGTTGTAGGATCAGGCCGCATATCCCCGTAGAAAGGGAATGCAGGTGCGTGGACAGGATCTATTTAGAAACAGCTTTGGTGTTTTTGCAGGGTCAGAGCCATTTAAAATACCATGTAGATTTTTAGATGGCTGCTGTGAAAATACACAAATTTCTAGCTTCTGGCGCTTAGCTGTGTGTAGCCTGCTGACAGTGGACTGCTTTAGCACTAATAATCAGTTGACCTTGAATGGGTCACAGAAGGCTTTCTTCCCTGGTATAGTATCTGATCATGATCTATGGGAAATTGATTCTTGACCTAGTTTCAGATGACAATACTTCCTCCATTCTTTGAGATCATCTTACAAAAACAAAGATTTGGGCTGTGAACCTGAGGCCAGGAAAAATCTTGCTGTTTAAATTCAGTGAATCTCTTGAAACTTTTCGGATTAGTAGAGTTCTTAAACTAATAGGGAAAAACCAAACAATGACTTCTACAGGGTCAGTGATCAAGGACAGTTGTGGGAATTAGTTACCAAATGTACAGAGAAGGTAATAGTTATATCTGGGTCCTAGCTTACAGTGTTACCTTGTTTGGAGTGGCCCCAAACAAAGTCAGTAGTGTGGCTTGTTATAGTTGAGCTAGCAAAGGAATCTAAAAGAGAGTGATTATTTGTTGTATGTGTTAAATAATTTACAGTGGTCTTATTAAACTAGTTTAAAAAGGAATGTTACAGGCTTATCAGTTGCATTTGTGTACAAACCCTAAAGTACAGTTACTCCATGACTATCATCAAAGTACTTGGCTGGGGTGAGGGAGATGGCTCAGTGGAATAAACACTTAAGGGCCTGAGGTCAATCCCTGGTTCCACCAAAACAAAAAAACTTGGCTGCCCCTACTGCTGTCTCTTCTACTTAAATGTTTGTAGTTGGTCTTCTGTTCCTGTATCTGCTTTAACAAGTAAAGTATAGAACCTTGCCATCCAGACCAGGTTTGTCTTTGAGGGCAGCATCAGTCTTCCAGCAGCCCTTTCATGTTGAAAGCCTGGTTAAGATTTAAAAAAAACCTCTTCCACTTAATCTACAAGTAATGACCTCAAGAAGAGAGAGCTAGAAACCTGCTATAGTCCATAATTCTTTCTGGCACAAAAGTGGGAGATCTAGTAAGGCCAGCATAGATGCTTTGTCTACAATAAAATAGCACTTACATCAGTGTTGAATGTGTCCACCTGAGGGTGTTTTCTAAATCAGCTGTCTAAATCTACACTCTTTATGTTCTCAGATTTAAGAAATAGAGGTGAATAAGCAGTTTTAGGAAAGACTTTAAGTTCGTAGTGAAATTTAACCTAGCTCCTTTTCTATACCTTTTATATCAAATTGCCTTGAATGTGTTCTTGGTTTCTGTTTGAATAATTGTTTTAGCAAAGAAGTGGTGCTTGGACAGAATAGTTACTGTAAACCCAAGGGTTCTGATAGTAATATTTTTAGGATGAGGGGAGGACAGGTTAGCTTAGCGTTTCAGATCAAAAATTGCCAGCAGTTTTTGCTTTAGGCTGGTAAATACTGTTGTGTAGAAACCAATCTGAAAATCACTTGTTGGCAGGAAGCTGTTTAGTATCTTGTGTGTCTAGGGCTTTCCAGTCTAGGAGTCCTTACATGGTCTGTTATTTGTGGATAGCATGCTATTCTGGTCTGCGCATGGATGTAATATGCATTTGGCATAGTGTTTGCATATTGCTTGATTATGTCTTGATACCCACAAGTGGCTAGCATGCTTGTTTTCTGTGCAGTGAAAGGAAGACAGCTACACAAATAACAGTATTAGATGTGTCTGAAAAAAAAAACCAAAACAGCAAAATAAACTTGACGTTGATGCTTTCATCTTTGTAAGGTAAGGCATATGCTGCTTGCTTACACAAGAACTATTGGTGGTGTTTTTTTTTACCCCCACTTTAAACATATATGAAAATAGTATTTTAAGTTTTAAGAAATTTTTGTTTTAGTACCCAACCTGGAATTAGCTGACTTTTGTCTTTTCTGTCTTGTTTTTATAAAGTTAGTTCTTAAAACTCAGGAATATTTTTTAATAGGATAATTGATTTAGTTCTAACATCTTAATACAACTCTATTGGTATGTTTTCTAAAACATGCCTTTGGGAAATCACAAGTATTTTTATGCTATGAAGTGTTAATGGCTGAATCAACCATGTAGTAAGTATAGGCTGGTTGATTTTTCTAGAATAATTTTGGGAGATTGTAAATTGTTCCCAGATTTACCAACTGAACTATTCATTTGTCAAAGTTTGCAAAAATTCCCAAGCCCCTTAACATTTAGCACATTTGAGGATGTTCGTGATGCTGAAGATGCTTTACATAATTTGGACAGAAAATGGATTTGTGGACGTCAGATCGAGATACAGTTTGCACAGGGGGATCGGAAGAGTAAGTACTCTTATGCCTACTAATGTGTATGATGTATCATTTTGGAACGATGTTCTGGGATGTCTCTGAAGTCTACAATTTGGATTTGTTCAGATTGTTTTTAAGAAATTATCTTGAATACTTTAGATTTTTTTCAAGTAGTTCCCAAGGTTTGCAGATACTATAGGTGTAAAGAGTTTGTGGAGATAAGAATGCCTGAAAAGTGTTCAGACTACAGAAAGTTGGTCAGTAATGTCAGTGGTAGCATATTTAGTATAGTGGGAATGTGGTTGAGAAAAAGATACTCTATAAAAGTTTTGGGTCTCTGGGACCATTTTTCTTCAAAAAGATCTTCAGCCAGGAACAGTGGTGCATACCTGTTTTTTTTTTTTTTTTTTTTTTGAGGACAGGCTGGGCTACATAGTGAGTTCAAGGCCAGCCTGTACTACGTTGCAAGTCCCTATCTCC